GGGCGTTTTTCAGTCGTGAGTCCAACATACCTTCAGTAGAACAGGTATTGGGCCATTAATTTAAATATTTTATAAAACAATAGCCTAAGTTAAGCTTGTACATTCTTTTTCCTTTCTTCTTTTTCTCCCATAACCAATCCGGCCTATGCCTTTTAATTTAAAATGTCAAGTTTCCCGCTTTGCCCTTTCCCTTTAGTTACTTAACTGCGCGCTACTATTTTAGTCAGCACATGTCACTTGCTGTCAAGATGCGGTCATCTCGTTGTTCAATTTTAATTAACACTTGTTTATAAAATGTGAGGCAAAAAGCCTTAAATTTGTAATATGTATTTGTAATTTTTCATTTTCGATTAATAATATCTTCCTTAAGTGAACATTTCTAGCTGCTTCTAACAATGTTTACAGCATATTATCACCAAATAGTTCAATTAATATGTATTTTCAAATACTTTTATATTTACTTCAATGAAGACTAGGTCACTTGTTAGTCATTGTTTCAATTATTTAAATTATATAAGATTTTCAGCTGTAATTATCGCGGTTCGAAATATAGCGCTTCTGTCAATAATGTCTGAAGTAAAATCTGAAATAATTAAATGAAGTACTGGGAGTTTAGCTTTTATAATTTCCCTTAGTCATTTCACCCCGTTTGATCTTATAAATGGAGAGCTAACAATTTTGTATAATTGCCTTATCTGGTATTATGTAGATTTAACTAGGGCTACAAAATCGCGCATTATTAATTATCCGAGAGCAAATTCCCACCGCGAGACTTTTTATTGTTCATTCATTGTTCACTATATCATGATTACGCCTTCGAGCACATTAAAATACATGCCCTACATCGAATTTTTGCGTTCTACCCAAATCCGCTTGAGGGTACGCACACAGATGTGAACGCTGGGATTAGATTTATAAAAAGAAAATCACTTATCTTGATGGTTTAAAGGATTGAATTTGATGCCTAGCTATGAAATTTGATAGAAATGTGGGCATGTCAAAAGTAGAAAATCATGTACTTAAATCTTAATTGCGTTGAATTCAAATAAATAACGCATTAAATATAGAAAATAATGATTGTATTTAAAAAAAACAAGAGGCTCACTTACTGCTGTATTCTAAAGCGCCTCTGAAATTATTTTTTCTTCGCAAATGACGATAAAACGCCCTAACGAACGAAAGCAGCGTGAATCACCATGAATAATAAATGAAAAAAAACAGTTTACCGTTCAGAAGAAAACGTTTGGTAGTCTTCACAGGAGTAGTCAAGGTCCGAATTTGAAGACACAGATACACAACAACAGCCTCATCAAAGTAGGCTACCCACAGAACCTCAAAATGCTGTGTAACAATGTCATAAAAACTTATTCACTAAAACCTCAACAATAATGACGACACGCTGTACTATAATATTCAACTTAACTAAGTAATTTCTGCGCATTAATTTACGAAATAACACAAAGTGTTATGTGTATTAGAAATAGTGTCTCAGTGTTTTTCCTTTTGGAATGTTGTAATTGAATAATTATTTAATTTGAATTTATTACTTTGCAATTTATTTGATGTTATAATGATACAGTGAATTGCGTGTTTAATGAGACATCTGTCTGGGTGCGAAAAGGAGCTTTTTATCAGCGCGAATATTAACCACGGGATTTTATTTGCTGTTCAGGAGATAAATAACGAAGAGAAATGTGTTACAAAAAAGTTTCATTTTAGAGAAGTGGGTACGTTTGGCGTGTTCCGTTGTGATTGGAGAGTTGTTTGTAATTTTCATAAAGAAAGGTGCTTATTTTACGGTGGAAGTGGTGTTTCTTTAAATAACGTAAAAACGAGGCTGCAAGTTCCGCGACAGTAAAACAGAGTGTAAATTTGTTTTTTTGAACACGCAGTTCGTCGGTTTCGAAATAGTGTGCAGAAGAAGTTGAGCAATCTTAATAAAAGATTTAAGTTATCCTCAAGTGAAGAAGTAAAAATTTGTGGAAAGGTTTTAAAACGGTCTGTCTGTATTCAGAAGTTAGTTCGACTGTGAGTAAACAAAACAGTTGTCTGCTTGTTGAAACCTTTCAAGAAGGATAGTCTATCATTAAAAGTTTCTACCGTCCAAGCAGCAATCAAAACATCTTATTTATAAAGTTCCAGTTTAATAAAGTGTCCTGAAGATGTCAGCGAGTGTTTTTGTTGTTTGATATAAGTACGCCTGAATATCGCAAATCTTGGACGACCAGATTGTTTAGACTAAGAAAAAGAACTGTAAGTAATTTAGGGTTTTCATATTTTATTTTTCGCCCACTTGCGTGTGGGGTAATATGTCAAAACAAGCTTTGTAAGCTTTACTTTCTTGCAGGGTTTTTGTTTTATTTTTTGTTTAGAAATAAATGTCTGTCATTGTCAATCAATTGTGTGTTTATTAGAATCCATTTTGGGACACGGACAGAATGTTTCATGTCAGATTTTTCTTTTTGTGCCCAACAGTGTTAATCAAAAGTTGTGTAGTAAATTCTTTGGAATTTTTTGGAAGTGTCAATATTAGAATTTTTCCTCTAGCAGATTCCAAATGGAACATGGAAATACCTATAATATGCAGGGTGTTACATATAAGTATGTAAAAAAAATTTGGGTCGTAGAGGGAATCAAAACAAGCACTTTTTCCAAATAAACCCAGGCTCCACCGTGTTTCAGAGCCACTCCCAAAAAAGTGGCGAAATTTGCATTTCTTCATTAATTTTTTCTCAGCAAGCATTATAGTTTGAAAGACTGGTGCCACATCTTTGAATAGGTTTTCGGGTATGTCCTTTCCGATTTTGCAATTTTTTTTAAATTCCTACCACGAAATGGTTCACTCCTAAATGGGAGTGCGAAAAAAATTCTGACTTCGACCAAATTTGATCTGGGGGTTTTTTTTAACATGAAATTAGTTTTTGAAAATTCGGAAAAAAAATTTCCATTGCATTTCTTGACCAGATAACTAAAAATGCAGAATTCCACGAAATTCGTTGTACCGCCAAAACCCGAATTTCCTAGGTAAAACCAGTTTTAACTATCTGCTTTAGTCAATTCTAGTTTACACTAGGTAAAACTAGAATTGTGTAAAGTAGATAGTTAAAACTAGGATATTTGGGTTTTTACTGATATCAGGTTTTGCTTTAATTTCAATGGGTTTTGACGGTAACATATAGGTACACACTTGATGAGTTAAGGTTAAGTGTCCCACGCCTACTAGTGAGTGATGTAATTTTGCATATAGTTAATTGTAAATATCGCAAATAACGAAAAATAATAATCTGAGTCAATATTATGACACTTGGAATAATGCTTCTTGATTGTAATGGAACTCTACTTTCTCACCACCCGCAGCCACGCAAAATCTACATCTTTTTGGAATCGAATTTGCAGACTTCAATACCATATATCGAATTTTTTATGTTCATTTAATCATCATATCGACTTAAATCGTTATTTTTTTGTTATTTGCGACATTTTCAATTAACTACATGCGAAATGAAATCACTCACTAGTAGGCGGGGGACAGTTTGTGACCCGTAGGCCCAAACCTCAAAGTTTTGTTTGAAAAGTGATTTTTAAAAACTGTTCAAAAAAATTTTGTTCCTTAACTCATCAAGTATGTACACAACGAATTTCGTGGCATTCTCTCCATTTTCGTTGTCCGGTGAAGAATTGCAGTGGAATTTTTTTTTCGAATTTTCAAAAACTAATTTCATATTCGTGATTTTTATGTTCAAAAACCCCCAATACCAAATTGCGTCAAAATCAAACATTTTTTAGCACTCCCATTTAGGGATGCGCCCTTTCGTGCACAGGGGCGGCTCTCTATCCAGAGCCAAGGAGCCATGGCACCACCTCAAGGAACCTGCTAATTATCAATTCTTAAAATATAATTAACTATTATTAATTGTGCTCACTAGAGTACATAATTGTGCTTTAAAACTTAAAACAAAAAAGTAAATGATTTGATAAATTAGGTACCAAGAAGAATTCATTTGTGCTTATCCGTGGACTTCAAATACGGTCGAGCCGTGCCAAACTGAAACTGGCTTGTATTTTCCTACAAGTGTGGACTTCCGCGGGGAGTAGAGGGGTGGGAGGAGCGAAACCGAAGTAGCGTTTTATACATAGAACTTGAGCCATCAGAAGTTTGGCTCATAAGCACAATAATACAATAACACAAGAATAATGTGTACGTGTATTAAGTATGCTTTGCGCCGTTTTCCTTGTTTCAGTCGTGATAAGTCAATTTTTTTTACTTCTGTGTAAGATTACACTTCCCGGATTAATTGTTACGTAAAATACACAAATTAAAAAATCATTTAAATAAACCTTTTTCCATGCATTCTCTGGAAGATAGACTTTAAATAAAGCAATTAAGCAGGCCGTTACCGGACTTAAATATTGTTAGAAAACGAAATGCGTCTGAAAGAGGACAGGACAATAGCGATAAATCCGAAAATAAAGGAGTAGGGATTCAGAGAATTAATAAATTTCAGTACTTGTTTAGATAAAGATTTGAATAGTTATTTGTACAACTATTGTTGAAAATGATACTTCGGCCTCATTAATAAAACTGCAAATAAAATGTTGCTATTGTTTATAGATCGGACTAAACGCCATGGAAACGGATAGTACAAAACGTGAAAAAAGTAACACTCCATACGATTTTTTGTCAAAAAAATCCGCTAATTCTCATCTAAAACAACACAAAATGAATTACTGGAATGCATACTTGAAGTATACTTGAAACAAGTCTCCAAAGAAATTAAAGGAGCTAGGAGCGTAGTATGACGGCAAGCGAATAACACGCATAATTTGTGCTCCTGCCTTAAATTGTACTTTTATATTGCATTGTTTGTGTATAGTGATATTAGTAAGGATTACCTACTAAATTGTAACTTATCAGTGTATATAAATTGATTTCGGGTGAAAGGTTCACTGGCTTTATCTACCACAACAGATAATCCTAATACAAGTGCGGCTGTTAACAAATGTTTAAAACGCGATCTGTAACTCGTAAAGAAAAAGAGGGCCTGCAACTACCAGAGGATCACTCGCAATCAAGTCAGTCCAGCTTCTGCACAATGGAAAGTATGTTAGATATGATGGAAGAATTGAAAAAGGAGTTGGCAGGTATCAACAACAGTATATCTAATCTTAATACCAATTTTAACAATAAGTTAGATAATTTTATGAAGGATATGTCTTAAATGCGAGAATAATGCAAAAAGCATTACTTTGCTTAATAATAAAATTGATGATTTGGAACAACGGAGCCGAAGAAGTAATTTGCGTCTCTTTGGGGTCAAAGAATTGCAGAATGAAAATACGGATGAAGCAGTAATCCATATTTTAAATGATAATTTAAATTTAAATCTAACTATTAACGATATTGAGAGGTCACATAGAGTAGGTGCATTATCGCCGAATAAAATACGTGCCATAATAATTAAATTTAACAATTATCGTATTCGTCAGTTGGTATATAGTTCAAAAAGTAAACTTAAAGGGACTGCATTGGTTCTACGAGAGGATCTTACTGCTAGAAGGCATAAAAAGTACATGGAGCTCCAAGGTGTTTATGGGAAATCGAATTGTTGGACAAGAGATGGAAATGTACTATTCAAAGTTAATGCAGATGTGAAGCTATACAGTTTTGATAATTCGAACTAGTGTAGTGAGCTTAGCAGTGAAGATAAACCCCTTTATTGAGTTTGAGAGATTACTTGTTTTTTCTTGTGTGTTTTCTTTATTCAAATGTAAAATCTATATTATTATTAATCAGCAATGATGCTACATTCATTTGTGTGTATATAACGAACTATAGTTTTTTTTCTTTGTGTAGAATATTCAGTATTCAAATTTTTGGTATGTATTATAAACCGATTATTGGTTGTATTTTTCCTTTGCGTATTTAGGTGGAAGCGCAAATTAAATTGTGCCTATAATTAGTTCCCTGTGAACGAATTATGAGTAATACCACATTTGCTCATATCAATGTGCGGTCGCTCACCAAAATTTTGTTGAATTTTCTGAACATGTAAGGATGAATAAATTTGATTTTGTTGCAGTTAGTGAAACCTGGCTACATAATGGTATTGACTCGCATATTGTTGCAATTGAAAATTATAATTTTTTACGAAAGGATCGTGGCAGTCGAGGAGGTGGAGTGGGCATTTACGTGAAATCAAACTACAAAGCAACTTTTATAGAACAAGATGTTTCTAAAACGTATGAGCAGCTTTGGTTACGAGTTGTTGATAAAAATAAGGTAATATTTATTGTGGGTGTTGTCTATAGGCCTCCCAATACCAATGTTTTAAATTTTATCGCGGAGTTTGAGGATGCGATGTGCAATATTCTACCGATTCATAGGAATATTTATGTGCTGGGCGATTTTAACATTGATTATTTGAAATCTGAAGAAGTTTGTGTCGTTCGTTATAAATCAATGTTGGATGCGCTCGGATTACAACAAATAATTAAAGATTCAACTCGGGTAACAGCACTTTCGTCCTCCCTAATTGATCATATTCTTGTGTCCGATCCGCAGACTGTTTTGTTCTCTGCGGTTACACTTTCTCATTTAGCTTCTGACCATAACTTCATAACATGCTCCATAACTACTGTATGTGACCGTCCAATTATGTCAAGACTCACTTATAGGGACTACTATAATTTTCATGAAGTATCTCAATATTTTGATTTAACACTGTCTCAACTCAACTGGCATGAAATATATATGTTACCTAGTGTAAATGATAAGGTTGACACATTCTCTGGCATCTTGCTTTATATTTTTGATCTGTATTTCCCCCTTAAAACCAAACTTCTTAACAAACCGGAATTACCATGGCTAACTAGTAATGTAAAATTTATGATGAAATTAAGAGATAGTGCATATAAACGTTACAAACGAACCAAAATCGCTGGGCACTTTGAGTATTACAAATCTCTTAGAAGTCTAGTGTCCGTTTCAATTAAAAATGAAAAGAAAGCCTACTTAAATTTTACTTTAGCTAAATATCATAAAACATCTCTGTGGAGGGCAATTAATAACTTAGATATTTACAAGAAGAATCATTCTACAATCCCACATCACTTAAGTAATCCCGATGACATAAACTCCTATTTCATTAACTCTGTTCCTTCGAATAACATACATACCTCGTCTAATGGTTATAACTCCATTCATCCTAATGTCACCACCATATTTACATTCACTCCTGTTGATGATACAACAGTGTTAACTATACTCAATGGGATTAAGTCTAAAGCTTTTGGTTCTGATGGCATCAATATTCAAATGATTCAGATGTGTTGTCCGTCCATGGTTCCTTATATAACCCACATTGTCAATGTCTGCCTATCCTCTAATATTTTCCCTACAGCTTGGAAAACTGCACTTGTGAGACCCATTCCTAAAAATCGATGCCCTAAAGACTACAAGGACCTTCGACCAATAAGTATTTTGCCGACTTTATCCAAGGTCCTGGAAAAGGTAATGAAGGCTCAAATTAGTGATTACTTCAAAAACAACCGTTTATTGTCTAAGTTCCAATCTGGATTTCGAGAAGGTCACAGCTGTACTTCTGCACTACTAAATATCACGGATGATATCATACGGGCAACTGACTCAGGGAAGCTCACAATAGCAGTTTTACTCGATTTCTCAAAGGCATTTGACACTATCGACCATAAACTACTCCTTAGAATACTACATCACTACGGTTTTCATTCTACGGCTATACAATTAATCTCTTCTTATGTTCAAGGTAGGCGGCAGAGCGTTCTTGTGAATAATACTCGTTCCTCTTCACTTGACATACGACGGGGTGTTCCGCAGGGTTCCGTATTGGGACCATTTTTATATATTATTTATTCTAATTCCATTTGTAGTAATCTGTACCATCAATATGCGGATGATACGCAGATTTATCATAGTTTTAATCCTGCTAAATTGAACGAAGCCGTTGAAATAGTGAACAAGGAGATAAATACTTTGGCTGATATTGCTCTAGACCACAATTTGCACATTAACTCGACAAAATCTGCGGTTGTTATTTTCGGTCGTAAATTAGCTAGGGAACCTTTTATTAAAATTCATCTCCGAAATGTGCTGCTGCCTGTAATGAACATGTCACGTAATTTGGGTCTAAACATGGATGCAGATCTTAAATTTACACAGCATGTCAGTGCCTGTGTAAGCAAAGCGTTTGGGACTCTAAGAAAACTGCACCCCAATAGAAATATTCTTACTCCTAAAATTAAATTGCATTTGTCTAATTCTGTGATTTTGTCCCATTTTAATTTTTGTGATGTAGTCTATGGGGCATGTATTGAACAAGTCACGGCGACGAGGATCCAAAGAGTGCAAAATGCATGCTTAAGATTTGTTTACGGTATCGGACGTAGGGATCACATCTCTCACAAAATTGTGGAAGCAGGGTGGCTTAATATGCATCAAAGGAGAATATTGCATTCATCTGTGTTCTATCATAAATTATTTTATTTCCAAACTCCTGGATACTTGCTTGACCGTTTAAGTTACCGCACGGATGTGCATAATTTGTTTTTACGACATAGGGGTCTGTTAGATATTCCCACCCACAGTACCCGTTATTTTGAAAAATCGTTTTCGTATAACGTGGTAAAAATATATAATGCTATTCCGCGGTCTCTCAAAATGCTCAGTCCATCATCATTCAAATCTAAAATGTGCCAGTTGCTAATATCAAATACATTGCCGTTATAGGTTTTGTAGCATTTCTTCTTATTTTATATATATATTTTTTTTTTTTTCTTTCTTTCTTAATGCGTGGTGAGTGTTCGTTCATTGGTGTTACTGATATATATATATATATGTGTTGCTATTATATTATGCTTGACAGGGCTGCATGGAAGATCAGGGTATTGCTACACTGAATGCAGTCCTTTCCCACATTATTCTTATTTTCTTTATTTATTTTATTTTTGTTTTCCTATTAGTTGTTTTTGTGGGAATAAACATTATTATTATTATTATTATTATAGATTTGTTTCCGTCACTTGCATTATAAATATTCGAATTATACTCAAAATCTAAATAACTGGAATAATATGAAAACAAAAATTTGTAACTATTACAATAATGGGGAGGGGGACACAATTTGGCACTACCTTCTACGCAGCTTACGAGCCGCCACTGTTCGTGCATACTCAAAAACCTATTCAAAGCCATGCCACCAACTCTTATGGTTACTGAGAAAAAAATTAAAGAAGAAATGCAAATTTCACCACTTTTTTGGGAGTAGCTCCCAAACGAAACACGTTGTACCCTTGGTTTATTTGGAAACAATGCTTGTTTTGATCCCCTCTCCCATTCAATTTTTTTTACATACTTATATGTAACACCCTGTATATAATGAGGGATCCATTCAACCTTCTTTTAAACATGACTAGGATTTGGTGCACACTGCTATCAAATTTCACAGGTAAGTTCAATTGCCTGTCAATTATTTGTAAGTAAAGTATCTCAAATAATTGTTTAATTATATAACCAAAAATCAAAAAGATGATCAATTAAACAATCAATTGATTTTAAAGTTATTCAAGTAATTAACTAATCGACTGGTTTCTGCATATTTTACAACAGCACACACTTGAACCGACTTTGCCAATGCATTAACAACGCAAATTACCCTAACTGAAAATCTACTTGTTTCAGATTTGGGTTGTTACCAAATGTTGATGATATTGTGTGCACATATTTACCTTGTGGGCGCATGATACCCAGAAGTTTGAGCTCTTCCGGCCAAAAATGGGAAATGTTTATGATCAAGTTTGTCCTCTATACAATCTTCCATTATATCCTTAATGATTGGCGTCCATCTAGACATTTGGTATGTTTGCTCGGTGATGCGTTCCTTGCGAGGAACCGTATACTGCTTTCTGCGATTACTGCCCTACAATAACAGCTGAAATGAAAGTGTCAACAAGGATGACTTACATCTGTAATAACATTCACGCCAAGATACTGAAGGTTTGCAATCTTCTGCTTGTCTTTAATTTGCGCATGTGTAGCTAATTTTGACAAGTTCTCCTCTGTAATTCCATTTTTGGCGAGTGCATATAAAGCGATTATACGCATTTTATCGTATTCATTCGTAATTTTGGGATCTAACAAAATTGGCACGATATTACGCATGTGATCTCTAATTCGTTCGCCTTCCGCATCTGTTCCCATAGCGAGATCCTACACAAATAAGATCAAACTTCCGATTAGAAATATTCACAACTAACCTGTTCAACTTTGCATAGCTTGTCAACATAACCTTGGTATGCTTTCATGCAATCTTCTGCCAAATGCAAATGAGTAGAATACTTGGACAGCTCCTTTTGATATTGAGGCATCTTCTTAATCATTTGGGACAAATCCTTTAGGGATTGTTTATCTGTTTGTGTCATACGTTTTGAATCGGTAAACTTCTTTAAATTCTTTGTTACACTCTGCGACACTACTGCAATGTGTTGATGACGAAGCTCAACCCAAAGTTCGTCATTTTCGTCCAATAGCACCTCTTTTTTTTCAACAGCACCAGCGGAAGCCTCATAGCTGTGTCATTTGAATAATACACTACGTAATCCTTAAAAATGTATTTAACTTACCGATATACATCATTTTCGATAGGTAATAAATCATAAGCCATTGACTGGAAGGTGAGCTCATGGAGTAAAGGCGAAACACAATCAAAGCCCCTGTCTAAAATAAGCAATTGAGATCTGGCTTTTTCAGGACCTTCACCCATTGTCGGCTCGTCGGCTTTATACGCATCCAATTTCTGTTGAATCAATTGTGCCAATTCAACGTTTCGTTCCCAATCACTAAAAACGATGACTTTCATTATCCCACATTGCAGTAAGTGCAAACAAACCTTCGATAACGGACTGAAGGGTACTCGCCCAACGTAGCACACAAAGTAGCTATCTGTTCCGCCATCCTTTCCATATTCGCATTTCTGGCGGCGGCAAGTGATGGGTCATAAAAGCATTGAAATGTTCCCGGAGAATCCAACGAAAATACCTATAATAAAAATGTGAAAATAGACAATATCGTACATTACTCCACTACTACATAAATAAAGAGAAAAGAATAGAAGCTAAACATGCAAACAACTTCACACACCTGTGATTCATAAGGTAAGAAGGCTATGTTGATCTCCTTTAATGTTTTTATTTTCTTAGCGGCGCAAGATTTGCACAATTCATTGAAAAGTTCCTCAGGGCAGACTATCAGAAGAAATAGAAAAGATTAAGAAAATGACTCATCCACAATGACAATATAAAAGTTGTCATCTTAATCCCAGGAGCACCCTTCTAATGGAAACGAGAAATCAATATTCAAAATACACTCACACTTTGGTTTTTGCAAACCTATCTGATTCATTAATTTTTTCAAGGGTGTTTCCGGGTTCTCTACATACACTGCATACGTAATATATTCATCAATTAAAAGAGAGTAAAAGTATGTACGCAAAATGTTTCATAGTGGGATCAAATTATAATTGCAGTATTTGGACCATAAACGTGCATAGAAATGTGGATAAACTTAAGCGTTAAAATAATGTAATAAAAATAATCAGTTTGAATTAAAAAGTGAATCGTTGGTTTGCACAAAACCTCTGTGAGTCACCATCTACAAGTTGTAAGATTATTCTTTTCATCAATATTATGACATGCAGTTTTTTTCATTATTGCGCACAAAACCATCCATGAAATAATACTAAAAATTGGCTATCGTTGTGGTGTTATTGGTAAAGTTGGTCGTTATAACGTCTGACCATCTAAAGTAGAGAGGGACCGTGGATGGCGCTGAAGTTATTCATGGAATTATCTTCTATAGGAAAAATCAAGGTACTCTGCCTATCCTTACGTGGTTAGTGTTAAAATTGGTTATAGAAAAAACATTAAATGCACTTTTTGAGGATATTGTAGGTCTAAAGCAGAACAACTTGTACCATACATGTAATTTGGGCATGCGCACACCGAATTTTGAAACGCATGCGCATAACGCTTGGGGTAATCTTTTGAATTCATTTTCATTGGTAATATGGCAATAAACATTTTAAGTATTAATCTTACTAAATAGAAACATTGAAATGCGTTTGCGCAGACAGGGAGGCGTTTTTCATAAATCCTTCCTTTTCCTCTTAGTCCAGGGAATAGAGGGTTTTAACTTGCAAAATGAGAAGTAGTTCCAATTTCTTTTGCATGTCATAGACAGTCATCTGGTGGTTAAGAATCTAAGTTTTCAACCTCCCACCCCTTGTGCTTCCCCCGTACCACCCCCAAAACCACTGAAATTTGGTTGGTTTCTTAGTTTTTCAATCATGTCTTTTTAATGGTTCACTTTAGAAAAAAATATTGTTATCAG